CCTGCTGAGGTTTTGGGAAAGGAGAGGGCCACACTAACACTACAGAGTACAGACACGGATGCTGAGGTGATCAGCCCTGCAAGTTCAACAGAATGCAAAGCACACATTTTTCAGCCTTAATTCAACATAGCTTTGAGTGTCTTAGCTTTTTTCATTTTAGGTAAGCCCAGACTGGGGGTGTAGGGAGCAGAAAGGGTATTTGGCAACAGAGCTTTGGATGTTAAAATACGCCCAAATCAGTAAACACGTCACGGGATATAAATGATTTGTTTCCCAGGCCATATGGCAATCTTCACAGAAAAGTGCTTAATTCACATAGTCTAAGATAATGTTTGGTAGCATTTACTCAAGTTTTTGCAAATTAAAACATTAATTAAATGTTATTCACACGTACAAAACGAACACAAACATGAATATATGCAAACAAGAACAATCATAGTTCCAAATTTCAGATGACCATTGGAATTCAATCTGAACAAAGGATCCCAGCCCCTCTTGCAATGCTGCCCAATCTCTGGCTTACCCTTACAGCCAAGCTGTCCATGTCTTGCAACACACACTCCCTTCTGCCCAGTTATCATCACCTCCTGGAAAACCTTGCCAAGAGACCCCATACCTGATACAGCATCACACACCGCTCTTTCCAGGTACCTCCATTACAATAAAGTGTGAGTGTTACCCAGCATTATTTATCATATTTACCTATGAGACAAGCTTTTGTTTCAATATGCTTCCCAGCCAACCTAAAATTTGCTTAAAAAAACCCAACCCAATTAATTTAAAGCAAGGATGCTCTGGCAGAGTTGCTGCCTTTCACTTCTGGAGTTTTTCCTGTTTCAAATCAATCAAAGAGGCCACCTGGAGCAGTCAGGGTCAGCATCAGCAATGTGGCCTCCTCCAGCACAGTTCAGACTGGAGCTGCTGGTGACAGCACCAAGCACATCACTGGGCCCAACAGGAACGAGACACTGCTCACACCTCAAATGAGCTGCAAAGACATCCAGGGACTGTTCCTTCACCATCTCTGCGTCCTACACTGAGCGCACTTACCAGCAGGCTTTGCACAGGCAAGTGGCAGAAGTCTAGCAGTTTGGTAAACTAATTAAACTTCACAGAAAAATAAGCACGATGAACACACAACAAGGAAATTCACTGGAAATTAGCTGCTGTATCACTCAAGTTCTCCAAATATTTGGGTAAACTTCTGTCTGTCTACAATCTGGCCAAACTTAATCGTAAAATACAAAATTTCTGCACTATTATACCGTCTGAACCGGAGAAGTAGCTCCCCCTTGCCATCTCCAACTTCATCCAAAGTCATTACCGTCTCAATGGGACAGTAAATGTCATTGCGCCTTCCCCAGAACGTCAAGTGGGCCACTCTGACAGTACGGCTGGCTTCATTTAAGTAGATTAATCCAATAATTCGTCGGAAAAAGTAGCTCACAGCATACAGCATTGCACCAGCAAAGAGCGTGATGCCAGTTGTGTATAAGAGGATATTCTGGGAAACCTGCTCTTGCAGGTAGAGGTAGCAGATGGGAGGCAGCATGCCCACAGTGGTGGCAGTCTGCACCAGCTTCAGCCTCGACAGCACCCTGCAGTACTTGATCCATGGAAACCTGTACACCAGTTTGAACTCTTCTGTTTTCCCATCCACAGCCTTTTGCAGGATGGCAGCAGCAGGGCCTGAATGGCAGAGGCATGCAGATGGTTCTCGCTGTCTTCCAAGGTGATGATTAACACCATAAACTTGCCGGTGTTGTGACTGCAAATGCTTCCAAGTACTAAAAGACATGGGTGGGTGAGCATCTTCCTTTTTCCACGACCTCGTCCAGAGCTCATTTTGCAGCCATCTTCCAAAAGATGGACCCAAGCAGACTTTAGTCCTAGTTCTGCAGAGCCTGGCCTATAAGGAAATATTCCCACAGGTCATCACTTGAAAGGTCTTTATAACCCAAACGCATTTAGCTCAGTCTGCTCCTCAGACACCTGCAGCCAGCACAAGCCTCCCCTGGCCCTACTCACTGTAACCTCATGCTTAAAACTTGCATTATGTTAGGAAACTGGTGCCTGTGCTTGTGTCCCTCCCTGCAGGTGAAGAGGAGAATACTTGAAACCAGAGTTACATTACCGACCGTAACATTATGGCATCCCCCGCCTCTTTTTTTTTTGAGCAACATCAAAGTGCCAGCACTACGGGTTGCTACTAAGCAAAGAGGGAGAGAAATCCTGGGGCTGCTAGCCAATGAGACAGTGAAGTGTTAAATAACCACTTTAACGTTATTAGGGAAACAGAAAAAAACGAAAGGAGAGCATGAGCAACACGGAAAGGGACTGGACATCGGGAACGCAGAGGACAACAGAAAGCAGAAAGGGCGCTCACGCCGTAACGCCCGCTGGCCTC